GCCTGCTTGCCTATAACTCCCAGGTGCTGGGATTGCAGACGCCCCCTGTGGGGACGTGACAGCCAGCCCTACCCTGATGGCTGTGTCATTGCCTACCAGGAATGAACTGCTCTATCCCAGTCCGTCGGCGTGCTCAGACCTGACTGATAATTTGCACAGTTTCCCCTGTGTTGGCTAAAGCAACTCAACATTGACCTTTAGCTCTGGAATGCCTGGGGGATCCCAGTGGCCTGCAGGTGAGGTAAGGACAGTTTAATGAGTTATTAACAACTTGCTTCTATAAAGTTTGTCTATTGCTATGGGAAAGGGATGAATGATGTTTTTATTACTATATAGCGGGAAAGCAACAACCGATGAGGTCAAACGTTGTTCCCTGCCAGCGGGGGGTTCCCTGGACAGCTGCACCGCACACCTTTCTGGGGTCCCCCGCCTTACCCCACTTCCTCAGGGCACACTGTCTCTAAAGCTGCCGCCCTTCTGTAGCAGTAAGAGTAAATTCGTTTAATCTAAATTTGAATCGAGTCTCAGTCTTTGGTCTTTCCCAGTAGATTTGAACAAACCCCAAAACAGACCACACCTATTTCACCTCCCTTTCTCTCATGGGGGAATTTAACTCAGGGCCTCAAGCAAGCTAGTTCTACCTCCCAGTTGCTCTTGGTCTGTCTGGGTGACCAACCTTCCCTTCCTGTAAAGGTGTGAGTCCTGAGAAAGAGAGCTGACTCACGAGCCCCTCCTCTCCTTCACTCAGGGCCTTCGTGACTGCCTGCTTCAAAGCCTGTGCCGGGTAAAGAAGCTCTATCTTCTGTTTGCTTGCTGTTTGAGACAGGGTTTCTCATAGCTTTGGGGCATTTCTTGGAGCTCGCTCTGTGACCAGGCTAGCCTGGAACTCACAGAGATCCACCTGCCTCTGCCCCCTTAGTGCTGGGATTAAAGGCGTGCTGCACAACCTGGCAAGAAGCTCTATTTTATGCTAGGCATCCATCTTGGTACCCGCCATCAGCTGTTTGTCTGTGACCCCAGTAACCCAGTGACTCCCAACAAAAATGGACAGTCCTGCAGTCCTGACCATCTACTGGTATGACCAGTTGCTTTTTTCTGTCTTCTGTAACTTGCTTTCACAGACACCCAAAGATTGTTTGAAGTTGTTTTAACCACTTAACCTGGCAGAACAGAACAATTTTCACTAGCTAACACAGATGTTAAAGGACTCTGTGTGCTTTTCCCCACACCCCTTCTACACGGCAATCTCAAATTTGGTCCTGAGATTGTTCCTCCTGCTAGCAACTAATCAACAAATCGTTCAATTAATTGGATTAAGTCTATGACCTTTTCCCAGGGGTCACAAACTCCGTAGCAAGCCCGTGTACTAAAATCACAACTAAGCAGGGTGGTTATGGCACAAGACTTTAATCCCAGCACTTGGGAGGCTGAGGCAGGTGGATCTCTGTGAGTCTGAGGCCAGCCTGGTCTACAAGAGCGAGTTCCAGGACAGCCAGGGCTACACAGAGAAACCCTGTCTGGAAAACAAAACTAACTAACAACAACAAACCACAGGGAATGACACAGAGATGGGGTGTCCCTGTGACGGTGACATGCTGACTCCTGAAGTGTGTCAGGACTCTCTGCTCCCTGTTTGCTTTTAACCAGGGTCTCCTGTCGCTGAGGCTGGCTTTGAACTTCTGAACCTCCAGGCCTCTAACCTCCCTCAAAGGGCTAAAATTACAGACAAACCCACCATGCCTGATTAGCTTACAGTTTCATAGCTTAGAGAGAGAGAGAGAGACAGACACAGAGAGGGAGAAAGAAAAGAAAACACACACCTGAAAACCAAGACTGAGGCGAGAGAATCTCAAATTTGGGGCTAGCCTGGGCTATGTGAAGTAATAGCGTCAAAACTGACACAGTGAAACCTTGTCTTGAAAGGCAAAACAAAAACAAACAAAAAAGTAACCATCAATCCTAAAAGGGATGTCTTCATCAAACCCTTGCTCTTAGGGTTCAGGGAACTATAGAGAAGAGGAGACAGCTTTTTTTGGTGGGGGGCGATTTCAAGATAGTTTCTCTGTGTAGCGCTGCCTGTCTTGGAACTCAATCTCACAGAGATCTGCCTGCCTCTGCCTCCCAGGTGCTGTGATTAAAAGTGTGTATCACCAATGCCCTCTAAAAAAAAATTAAAAACAAAAGTTCAAGGTTACGCTTAGGTCAGGTGGTCATAGCATAAGCTTTAATCTATATCCATATATGTAAATTAAAATAGCTTTACAATATAAATAAACCAATAAGTGATGACTGGTGGGCAGGAGGACAGGTGTGTCTGAGAGCAGCCATGGGGTGGGCAGAATTAGGACTCCTGATTTCAAGATCCCCAGGGCTTTGTCACCCCAGAGTGGGAAAGTCAGGGAGTCCCAAGAGGAAGGGGACAGGGGAGAGGCCTAGGTTTAATCACTTCCTCTCTCTGCGGCTCAGTTCTTCAGACTGTGGGCTGTGGTGAGAGACAGTCTGTGAGAAGATGCTTTGTAAGCTGAGAAGTTTCCAGAAGACAGAAAGCGTGGGAACCTGGTGGGAAAGGCTTGACTCCTCAAGGAAAATTAGCCCTGGGGGAGAGACAGTAGCAGAGCTGCTATCTGGGGAGTGAGTCAGCCACCAGGGCCCCGGAGAAACCCCACAGCCATCAGGAAGTGTTATTATCATCCTCTCATTTGTCTTCTGGAGACGGGAGCCCGGCTGTGCAGACTGTGGACCCGTGACTGCAGTGTAGACTGTGGAGTCATGACGGCTGTGTAGACTGTGGACCCGTGACTGCTGTGTAGACTGTGGAGTTGTGACTGCAGTGTAGACTGTGTAGACTGTGGACCCGTGACTGCAGTGTAGACTGTGGACCCGTGACTCGCTCAGCCTCCCGAGGGTCACGATCACAGCCGTGGACGACCATGCCTGGCTATTAACTCCCGTTTTAAAGATGAGGAAAATGAGACACAGAGTGAGGAGACATTTGTCCAGGATCACACAGTAAACACAAGGACAGAGAACGGCTGGATCTCGTGACTTACACGAAATGAGCAGTATAGATTCTAAGTCAGAGTCATCGTCTTGAACTGTAGATGCCCAGTGTGTCCAATGTCTTGGGTTTGATCCCCCCAGAACCCTAAAAATGCACTAAATCCCAAAGTCCTTAGCTGGTCGTAGAGCCAGCCTGTAGCCCCAGCTGTAGTCCCAGCTGTAGGAAAGGGGATTTCAAGTTTGGGGCCAGCCTCAGCTACTTGAGACCTTGGGTCAAAGCAAAACAGGGCAGATACAGAGTCTTTATTATTTATTTATTTATTTATTTATTTATTTTCTGAGACAGGGTTTCTCTGTGTAGCCCTGGTTATCCTGATCTCCCTCTATAGACCAGGCTGGCCTCGAACTCACAGAGATGCTACTGCCTCTGCATTTAACTCTCATTTTAAAGATGAGGAAATGAGGCTCAGAGTGATCAAAACCCAGCAACAACAATAGTTTTTAAATGTTTATTTATGTAATTTATGTATATGGGTGTTTTTGCCTGCACGTATGTCTGCCTACTGGAACAGTCTGTAGGATCCCACGGAACTACAGTTTTAGACTGTCATGAGTCACCTTATGGTTGCTGGGAATTGAACTCACGACCTTTGGAAGAGCAGCCAGTACTCTTAACCACTGAGTCTTCCCTCCAGACCTAATAATAAGAATTCTTAATTAACTAAAAATAAATGTTAGCTGAGTGTGGTGGTAAATCAAGAAGACCTTGGTTCTCCTTTTTTTCTCTTGTCTCTTAAAAAAACAAAAAAAAAAAAAAAAAAAAACCAAACTCTTTGTGTGTGAATGCCGATCCTGACTCCTCGCTCCTCCACGTTAGTCACACAGACCTTGCATAACCTCCGAATTACATATTCCCGGCTGGTTTGACTGTTAGAACCCTCGAAAGAAGAAAAATCCCCAAGGTGTCAAGTAATTTCCTCAAGGTGGCACAGCCCAAGCTCTGGACCTGACGTCTTTCCCTCCACCTGTGTCTCACTCCGGCTTAGGGACAAGCGGGTTGTGCCCATCAGTCAAGCCCTGACCGGGGATTCTAACCTCACGTTAGCGGGCTCACGGTCGGGATCACAGACCCCGCAGAGAAGAGCACGCGCAGGTTCACACTGTCTTATGTTCTCGGGAGCTCGTGGACTCCTCTGCTGTTGTCTAATCCTAACTGCTGGGCAGCTAGGCGGTGAGGGACCGCTTGCAGGATGCTGAAGCCCAGGCAGTGTTCCGTCTGGAGAAAGGATGCGCCTCCAGCTCTGACCGGGTTCATTCCCTGGAAGGAAAAACCCGCACTTGCTTCCCCGTGCTCCGTCTCAGAATACAGAGCGGCCAGCTCACAAGCCCTCATTTTTGGATTAATCTAATCAGTTTCTCTCTCACCTCCAGGGTGCTGTGGGGGAAACGTCTCCTAATTCTGCAGATTCCTGCCAATGTACATTTATGGTTTCCGGGCCCAGTGATGTCTGTAACACTTCTTGGCAGCTCTCCCTTTAGCCGTGAGCCCAGCGGTCTCACGGCCCTTCCGAATAGGCAATGAAGCTTTACGGGTTTTCCTGTCACTGAAGAAGCACAGTGCACACACTTTTAATTCCCACCTCAGTGTTTTTGTCCTGTTTCCTCCCACCGGCTAGTTTGTTTATTTGTTTGTTTGTTTGTTGAGAGGGGTCTCCTGTGACCCGGGCTAATTTCAGAGTTACTAAGTAGATGAGGCTGGCCTTGAGTTGCCCGTCCTCCTGGCCTGCATTTACTGAGTGCTGGGATTACTGCCTTGTGTCAACACGCTTGGTTTTATTTTATTTTATTTTAAAATATTTTTTGAAAGGAGCTGGGCAGTGGTGGCCCACGCCTTTAATGCCAGCATTCAACAGAGTCAGGTGGATCTCTGGGTTCGAGACCATCCTGGGCTACATAGTGAATTCCAGGACAGCCAAGGCTACACAGAGAAACCCTGTCTTTTAAACAAACAAACAAATAAATAAATATAAATAAATAATAAACATGAAAAAAATTTTTGAAAGAGTTTCAGTTTGTAGTACAGCCTAGCCTTGAACTGATAATCCCCCTGCCTCTGCGTCTCAAATGCTGGGTTGCAGCTGTGCGCCACCATGACCACTGGGTCTTTTGAGCTTGATGCTGGGGGTGGTGCCTGGATGTTTGCACCAGTCTTGATGCAGGGGACACTTGAAGCAGTAAAACTGACGCTATGAGGATTTTCCAACAAATGCTCTTAGGAAATACCAAGTTGCCTGAGGTAGAATTTAGCTCAAGGAAGGCTGCTTCCGGCGACTGGAGGTAAGCAGCGCTCTTGCAGGCTGACTAGACAGTGTACTAAAGAAAATCTGGACCGTGACTGATATTTAAGGTTCCTGAGAAAGTTTCTGCTAACATTTTTTTCACCAAGACTGGTCTCCAATGGGCTCCATTCCACAGGACAAACCTGACTTAAAACTGGCCATTAGCCCATTCCCAAATCACAGAACATGCCTCTTCCCCGCAGTTCCCGGTCACAACCATAGCAAGTCCTGGATGCCGTTAAGTCCTCTTCTCTCTTAACAGGAAAGCATAATCCTACAGGTGGGCACAGTGGACCTGTGTAGCAACTGCTCCACAAGAACAGCATTGGTGGACCCAAGAAATAGTTCTGGGGCTGGAGAGGTGGCTCTGTGGCTAAGAGAGAACCCGGGTTCAATTCCCGGCACCCACACGGCAGCTCACTACTGCCTGGACCTCCAGTTCCAGGGGATCCAAGACCCTCACACAGACATACGTGCAGGTAAAACGCCAACACACATAAATTAAGGCAATATGTGTAACCCGGGGAGTGGAGAGAGCTTTAAGGATGGCAGCATATACGGGATGGAAGAGCCTATGGTGTATATACATGCCATATATAGTTATATATATATAAATCTTCCCTTCCTGGCCGGCTCCTCTTTGAGCATCATTCAAAGCTGGATGCAGTAATTTCTTCCTTTACTACCTCTAAGTGGACGAGCGCTTTCTCTCTGGAAGGCAGATTAATCCTGTAGCGCTCTGTCCTTCTGGCCCTGAGACAAAGACAGCGCTCAGCAAATAATCACAGTGTTGGTGAGAGGATTTTGAGGCGAAGTTAAGGGGACTTTAGATTGCTCTAATCTGAGGGTTTCAAGGATGTCTCCTTGAGAAAATGGTATTTCAACGGCTTCTTCTTCTTCTTCTTCTCCTCCTCCTCCCCCTTCTTCTTCTTCTTCTGACAGTTTCTCTGTAGCTTTGGAGCCTATCCTGGAACTAGCTCTTGTAGATCAGGCTGGCCTCAAACTCACGGAGATCAGCCTGCCTCTGCCTCCCGAGTGCTGGGATATAAGGTGTGCACCACCACCGCCTGGCTCTCAAAGGGTTCTTAAGTAATATGAGAATTAGAAATGTCTGGAGTTTCTTCCAGGAGAAAGCTGAAGGATGTTTGTGTTTCCCACAGCATGGAGCCCTAGGGATTCCTGCGATTTCCATAACACCGCATGCCCAAGAAAACCCAGAGCCAGGTCTTGAGGCGAGACCCACAGTGCGGAAGGAGGAAACAACCTCTGGAAAGCTGTCCTTGAACTGACGTGCCAACCACCACCACCACCACCACACACACACACACACAAATGCGAAATAGGTAAATAAAGATGTAATAAAAAATATCCAAGCCGGGCAATGGTGGAGCACGCCTTTAATCTCAGCACTCGGGAGGCAGAGGCAGGCGGATCTCTGTGAGTTCGAGACCAGCCTGGTCTACAGAGCTAGTTCCAGGACAGGTTCCAAAGCCACAGAGAAACCCTGTCTTGAAAAACCTAAAAAAAAAAAAAATCCAAGGCCACCAACTGACAGCGGTAATTTTTTGGTTTCCTTTAGTCAAGAGGGCTGAGGCAAGGGAGACGTCCTTACGGAGAACAAGGTCTCAAAGCGAAAGTAGAAAGTAAAAAGAGTCTAGTCTCAGGAGCATGGAAATTCATCTTCTCGGGTCTCTGGGTTCCACATAGGTCACGTGCCTGCCTCAAATAAGCAAGGAACAAGAGGCAACCAAGACTGATTTGGACCAATCAGGATTTATTTTTCAATTGCACGGTATTGTGAAAACCCCATCTTACCAGAGGATAGAGCTGCCCAGGGAAAGATCATGTGAGGGATAAAAGGTCCTCAAACCCTCCACCAAACAATACTTTATTTTTATTTTATTTTATTTTTGAGACAGAGTTTTTTGGTTTTTTTTTTTTTGTTGTTGTTGTTTTTTTGGTTTTTTGAGACAGGGTTTCTCTGTAGCTTTGGTGACCATCCCGGAACTAGCTCTGTAGACCAGGCTAGCCTCGAACTCCCAAAGATCAGCCTGTCTCTGCCTCCCGAGTGCTGGGATTAAAGGCATGCGCCACCACCGCCGGCTAAGACAGAGACAGAGTTTTTTTGAGTAGTCCTGGCTGTCCTGGAACTTGCTCTGTAGACCAGGCTGGCTTTGAACTCAGAGATTCACCTGCTTCTGCCTCATGAGTGCTGGGATTAAAGGTGTGCACCACCACTGCCTGACTTCTGTCTTTCTTTTTTAAAAAAGATTTATTATCATATGTGTATGGCATTTTGCCTTCATGTATGTCTGGGTACCATGTAAGTTCATGCAGTGCCTGGGGAGGCCATAGGAGGGGCTTAGAGCCCCTGGAACTGAATTACAGATGCTTGTGAGCTGCCATGTGGGCACTGGGAACTGAACCCAGGTCCTTTGGAAGAGCAGTCAATGTTGTTAACTGCTGAGCCATCTCTCCAGCCCCCAAAGAATACTTTCTTACATAGAACTTTTTGTTTTGTTTTTCGAGACAGGGTTTCTCTGTGTAGCCCTGGCTGTCCTGGATCTCGCTCTGTAGACCAGGCTGCTCTGTTCTCGCAAAGGACCTGAGTTTGTGTACAGCCCCCACATTGGAGGATGGTGCCCAGCGCCAGACAGTCCAGCTCCAGCAGATCTGACACTCTTTTCTGGCTTCCGTCGGCTTCCGCATTCACACACCACCCCCTGTACAAACCAGATAAAAACGAAGGTTGTGACCCACCCGAGGTGGTACGTGTTTTAGATGTGAGGGCAAGAACAGCCAGAGGCGTCTGGAGGACTCCAGAGCAGGGGAATAGTAAACTGAACACTGCAGCAGACCGGCCTTGGCCCTGAGAGAAGAGACAGGAGGAGAGAGGAAGACAGAGAGCGTGGGCAAAGGAGACCAAGAAGGCAAGACAAGAAGAGTGCTCATAGTTAAGATAGTAGGGTGATCATGATGGAATTGGGGGGAGTAGACCGAGGGCTGGAGAAGTTTAAGGCAGGTGCGGAGCAAGAAGATCATGGGTGTTTGTTTTGTTTTTTAAAATATGTATGTAATAATGAGGGCTGGCTTGCTTGTTGGGGTTTCTGTTCCACCCAGTACCCCATAGCCGGCTAGCCCCAAAGAAAATCACACACAGGTCTATATAGGTTATAAAACTGATTGGCCCATTAGTTCAGGCTTCTTATTAACTCTTGTAGCTTATATTAACCCATTATTCTTATCTATATTAGCCACATGGCTTGATACCTTTTTCAGCTGGTAGATTACATCTTGCTTCTCGGTGGTCTGGGCAGGACTGGGAGGAATGGGCTTCCTCCTTTCCAGAATTCTCCTGTTCTCATTGCCCCGCCTCTACTTCCTGTCTGGTTGACCTGCCTTGTTGAATTAGGAGCGGCGGGGCCGCACGCATGGCTAGCTTATGCCCGAAATAATTACACGGAAACTGTATTCTTTTAAACACTGCCTGGCCCGGCTAGTTTCAGCCTCTTATTGGCTAGCTCTTACATATTAATCTAACCCATTTCTAATAATCTGTGTAGCCCACGAGGTGGCTTACCAGAGAAGATCTTAACCTGCGTCTGTCTGGAGTGGGAGAATCATGGCGACTCCTGACTCAGCTTCTTTCTCCCAGAATCCTGTTCTGTTTTCTCTGCCTACCTAAGGGTTGACCTATCAAATGGGCCTAGGCAGTTTCTTTATTAGTAAGAAATCACTCCCACATCACTGCCTATACTTCCTGCCTGACCAATCAGCATTTTATTAAAACACATGATTGACAGAATACAGACAATTCTCCCGCACCATATGTATTGTTATTATTATTATTATTATTATTATTATTATTATTATTTTGCTGTTTCAAGACAGGGTCTCTCCATGTAGCCCTGGCTATCCTGGAACATACTCTGTAGACCAGGCTGGCCTTGAACTCCCAGAGATCCTCCTGCCTCTGCATCCTGAGTGCTAGGATTAAAGACATGTGCCACCATGCCTGGCTTATTTTTATTATTTTAAGTGATGTGTTTATGTCTGTGCGTGGGTACACAAGAATGCATGTACCAACAGAGGTCAGAGAAGCCCTAATCTCCTGGGAGCTGGAGTTATAGGTGGTTGTGAGCCACCCGACGTGGGTACAGGGAATTGAACTTGGATTCTCCGGAAGAGAGGAACACGGTTTTCACCACGGAGCCAATACTCTAGCACAAACCACAGGCATCTGTGATACCGAGGGAGCCTGGAGGCCAGTATGTGCTTTGGTGTGCTAATAGGTACCACAGACAGACATTTGTTCCAAGTTTCTTTTGGAACTGATCCCCTCAAACATATCATATGATTAAAAATAGAAAAAGTCAAGATTCAAGCAGGCTATGGCATTTGCCTTTGATGCCAACCCTCAGGATGTACAGGCAGCTAGACCTCCGAGCTCCAAGTCAACAAGGGCTACGTAGTGAGACCCCATCTCAAAAGTACATAAGTAGCCGGACAGTGGTGGCACACACCTTTAATGCTAGCACTCAGGAGGCAGAGGTAGCTGGATCTCTGAGTTTGAGGCAGTTTGGTCTACAGAACAGGCTCAAAGCTACACAAAGAACCAAGGTTCGATTCCCGGCACCCACATGACAGCTAACAACTGTCTGCAACCCCTGGTCCAGGGGACCTGATGCCTCTTTCTGTCCTCCTTACATTCAGATATACACGCAGGCATACCACCCACACACAGTCTTTAAAAAGAGCAAGCACCTTCAATCCCAGCTCGTGGAAGGCAGAGGCAGGTGAATCTCAGTTCAAGGCCAGCCTGGTCTCTAAGAGCTAGTTCCAGGACAACTAGAGCTGTTCTACAGAGAAAGCCAGTCTTGAAAAATCAAAACAAACAAACAAACAACAACAACAAAACAGTACAGCCTCTTATGCACTATTTGCAGGGGGGTGGTAATATCCACAGTCAGCAGAGAGCTAAAGCAGACAAAATTAACAAAGAGAACTTGGGATACCTCAGACGCAGCTGCCCAAGGACTAGTAACCACAGCCCACTGGTCCCCAGAAACAGCAATCTTGACTCCTACAAGGACTGGCTCCAGTGTCAGACACACAAGTCCATTCCAGGACAAGGACACCAGACTAATATCCCCTTTGTCCTTTTGTCAGGGTTTTTGAAAAAGTCTTGGGTCAGTCTAGATTCCCGCAGAAATCTAGGCACCATGGCAAACACCTGTGACCCCAGCCCTGAGAAGGTTGAGGCTGCAGAATTGTTGAGTTTAGGGTGTCCTGGAATTCCCATTCTCCTGCCTTCCCTCCCCCAAACACTGGAATTACAGGCATAGTCACCATCTCGAGCTCAGTTTGCGATCAGCTGGGGCAGCATCCACAGCCCCCTCTCTTGCTCTGTCGATATTTCGCCTGTGTATAGGACTGAGGGTGAGGAGGCCAGAGGACGACTTTAGGTCTCCTAGAACTGGGGCTGCAAACAGTTGTTAGCTGTCAGATGGGTGCTGGGAATAGAACCTTGGTCCTCTGGAAGAGTAACCAGTGCTCTTAACCTTTGATCCGTTTATCCAGCCACCAAACTGCTTGCGGCTCTTCAGAAAACTCAAGTTCCGTTCCCAGCATCCAAGTCATGCTTCACAGGTGCCTGTTACTCCAGCTGCAAGGGATCCAGTGCCCTCTAACACACACACACACACACACACACACACACACACACACACACACACACAAATAAAATTAAGTCTTGCCAGGCATAGTGGAAAGTGGCAAATGCCTTTGATCCCAAAACAACATAGTGAGACCCTGTCTCAAAACAAAACAGGACAAAATCTTTAAACAATGACAACGACAACAACAAAGAACCCGGGTGTGGTGGTGCACACCTGTAACTGCTGCTCCCCAGAGGGAGCTGGGGTGGGGTCCAGCATGCCTGACACCTCTACTCCACCCCCCAAAAGCATCAGAAAATTAGCAGTATTTGAACAACTACTAAACTGAGATGCTGAACCCTGAAGGAAATGTCTCCTGAAGGTGGCCTTGGGGCTTTTATTCTGGAAGAGTCTGAGGTACCATTGTGGCATCTTGGGGTCTCAAATCTGTGTCTGTGTCTGAGGATGCAGTTTAGTAGTCCTGCCAGTGTGCACAAAACCCTGGGTTCACAGAGCTGGGCATGGTGGAGTGTGCCACCAGAGACCTGGTCTCAAAAACGTAAAAACAGGGGTTGGAGAGATGGCTCAGTGGTTAAGAGCATTGCCTGCTCTTCCAAATGGTCCTGAGTTCAATTCCCGGCAACCACATGGTGGCTCACAACCATCTGTAATGAGGTCTGGTGTCCTCTTCTGCAGACATACAGACAGAATATTGTATACATAGTAAATATTAACTTTTGAAAAAAAAAGTAAAAACAAAAACCAGGGGCTGGAAGGGTGATTCAGAGGTTAAGAGCACTGGTTGCTCTTCCAGAGGACCTGACTGAGCTCAGTTCCCAGCAACCACACGGTGGCTCACAACCATCTGTAATGAGATCTGGTGCCCTTCTTTGACTGCAGGCATACACACAGACAGAACATTGCATACATAACAAATAAATAAATAAATCCAGTCTGAGTCCTGTTGTCAGTGTCAGGGACAGACAGCTCCACATGTCTGGGACAGACAGAGCTCCACACTGTGAGCACTCTGAGGCTCAGGAAAACCCAGAATTCTTGGCTTCTGAATATTAAAAAAAATCCAAACAAACCAAAACAAAAACTTCAGATCAAGCCAGTGTGAGGCCGAGTTGGAGAGGATTTTTGCTTTGTTTTCTTTTATTTAGTGTGTGTGCACGTGTGAGTGTGATATACCATGTGTACAGAGCACAACTTTGTGGGCATTGGTCCCAGGCTCCAAGGCACCTACCTGCCACACTAGGGGAAAGTTCCGGGCTCAGAACTCTTAGGCCAGCAGCTTACACAGGTGACCTGAACCAGTCAGAGTCCTTGATGGCAGGAAGAACTAGAACTCCCGTTTGGACTACAGGCAGGAGGCAAAGAGCCAAAGGGGCAGGGAATGAAGCTTTTGAAACCTCAAAGCCCATCCCCGGTGACGTACCTCCTCTAGCAAGCAAAACCTAATCCTTCCCAAACAGCTGCCCCAACTAGGGACCACGTAGTCAAATACGGGAGCCTACTGATTTTTCGAGACAGGGTTTCTCTGTAGCTTTGGAGCCTGTCCTGGAACTAGCTCTGTAGACCAGGCTGGTCTCAAACTCACAGAGCTCTGCCTGTCTCTGCCTCCCGAATGATGGGATTAAAGGCGTGCGCCACTACCGCCCGGCTCACCACAGCCTCTTATCTTGTGTCCAGGAACTCCCTACACAGCTGAAGATGACCTTGAACTTCCGACCCTCCAGCCTCCCACCTCACCAATGCAGCAGTTACAGGTGTGTACCACCACTGTTGTTTATTAAGTGTGGAAGAGTGAGCCCGGGGCCTGTGTGGGCTAGGTGAGCACTGTACTGAGGAGATTTTACACAGATTTTAAACTCAAGAGTCAAGGAAAGAGAAGCCACCCAGAAGAAAGCAAGCATGCTCCACGAAGACGAAGCTTGGTGGCTCCACAATTGCAGGCGCCACTTTGTGAGGTTTGAAGCTATTATCTTTGAAGAGTTGGTAGGGACCTAAAGGAGATCCCAGGTTCCCGGGATCACAGTTGATAAGGTGAAATCTAGATCTTGGGGTGCCGGAAGTTGGAGTGTCTCCACTGTACACAGAGTTAACGGGCTCGTTTATAATATTTCCAGAAACTGCTCAGGAGAGGAGGCCAACCCTTTTCTCGTGAAGTTATTATTACTTTTTTAAACCACACAACATAAATGTAACTAGGACATCACGTCGCCATGTTTGTCATTTATCTTCCCTCAGTGCCGGAGGGTGGCTAGGAGACTTGTGCTCCAGGTGTGATGCGGAGGGATCAGTAAACCTAAAGTGACCCAGAAAACTCAAGCCTGAACTTGACTTAAGGTGGTTAGAGATTGCCAATACCCTCGGTAATTTGGAAACATAGCAAAAAGTTCTCTTTGAAAGGGTGTGGTACACACATCAGTGAACTCGCACTAGGTAAGTCAGTGCACACACCTGCAACCTCGGCTCTGGGCAGTCAGTGCCCACAGCTACGACCTCGGCTCTGGGCAGTCAGCGCCCACAGCTACGACCTCGGCTCTGGGCTGTCAGTGCCCACAGCTGCGACCTCGGCACTGGGCGGTCAGTGCCCACAGCTGCGACCTCGGCACTGGGCGGTCAGAGGCAGGGACTTCTTAGGAGTCTGAGGCTTAGACTGAGACACACAATCAAAAGCTGCTCAGGAGAAACCAAAACAAGTTCTCCCTGATGGAAGACGATAAAGACGATATTGTCTCATCCCTTGTGAACTTTTTTCTTTTACTTTCTCGTCTCTGTCTCTCTCTCTCCGACAGTCTTATGGAGTGCAGGCTAGGCTCAAACAGCCTGTGAGGCAGAGGGTAATCTTCCTGCCTTCACCTTTCACATGATGGGATTAGACACGTGGATCACTGTGCCCAATTTAGTGAATTTCTGCAATTTTTCAAAAGAAAGATTTTATTATTGTGGTTTTTGTTTGTTTGCTTTTTTCTTTTTTTCTTTCTTTCCTTTTTTTTTTCCCCTCTTTTGCAGACAGGCTCTTACTATTTAGCTCTGCCTGATCTAGAACCCACTATGTAGACCAGGCTGTCCTCCAACACACAGAGATCTGCCTCTCTCTGCTTCCAAAGTGCTGAGATCAAAGACATTCTCTACCACTTCTGGGCAAAGCCTGATCATGGGAACTGGAGAGATGGCTCAGTGGTTAAGAACACTAACTGCTCTTCCAGAAGATCTGGGTTCAATTCCCAGTACTCACATGGCAGCTCACAACTGACTATAATTCCAGTTTCAGGGGACCTGACATCAATGGCAAAACACCACTGCACATAAAAAAATTAAAAAATAGAAAAATTTTAAAAACCTGGACATGGTAGCACCTATCTTTAGGCCCAGCACTCAGAGGCAGAGGCAGGCAGATTTATGGAAATTCCAGACCAAAAGGGAAAGGAAGTCATGCCTAGCAGGCAGAACACCAGAGTTCAGTCTCCAGCTTTGCCTGGGCAGGTGACACACACACCTGTAATCCCAGTACCTAGGAGTGGGAGGCTGGGGATTCAGGTGTCCTTAGCTACACAGTGAGTTCAAGGCCAGTGTAGACTAAAGGAACCATTTTTTTTAAAAAAATCACAAAATATAAAGCCAAAGCAAACTACAACAAAATACAATATCCTGGAGCCAGATAAAGTGTGTGTAGTCCTGGCTGCCTGGGAGGCTGAGGTAGGAGGATCCCTGTGAGTCCAGAAATTCCAGATCCGCCTGGATGACACAGACTCTAAAAATAAAAACAAAACCAAGACCAAACAGAATCCAACATGAGCACACAAAGGTAACTGGAGGGCACGACACAACCCTCTGAGACTAGAAGTGTGGCGGAGATTGTGTGGTATTTCACGCCCACAGCCCCAACACCAGGGAAGCTATGGCAAGAGGCTCCTGGATTCCAGACCATCCCAAGCTACAGCCAAGCCAAGCCAAGGCTTGACCAAAGTAACACCAACAAAAGATGGTGGGTGTAAGGGTATCATAGACCCTAGGAACAGAGCCACAAGGTTTCCAGATGCTGAAAATGAATAGCATGGATCACAAAACAATCGTACATTGTGCAGTCAAGAGTAAAAGCCAGAATTAGCAAACTGATCGAGAATTAGAAATTTCAAAGAAATGACGGAGCAAGAAGTGAGTGTGGCACACACCTGGGATCCAAGGCCTGGAGGATCGGAGTTCTTTAAGGTCGCTGTTGGCTTTATAGCAATATAGCAAGAGGCTGTTGCACGAATTCTAATTGGAATCAATAATAAAAGCCCAGAGTCAGACACAGGGGTTAATGCTGACTGAAGGTCAGAGAAGCTGAGTGACCAGCCACTAGAGAATTCTTTTACCTCTACCAATGCTCAGACAGAAGGGTGATTCTGTCCTTAGACTGTCTCCTCAGACTTTATCTTCTCTGCAGGGCAACCCTCAGACTGCAACTGTCTTCACCAAACCTCAGACTTCCCTGAGCTCCTGTCTCCTCCCGCCTTATATTCCCCTCTCTGCCCAGCCACATCACTCCTGTCTCCACCTCCCCAGTGCTGGGGTTAAAGCCTGGGATCCCAAGTGCTGGGATCACCTTTGTGTGAGCGCTGTTTCTCTTTTAGACAGATTCAAACTTAAGTAGCCCAGGGTGGCCTTGAACTAACAGAGATCCCTCTGCCTCTGTCCCTCTCTCTCCAGTCCTGGGATGAAAGGTGTGTGCCACCACTCCCTGGCCTCTAGTGACTTACCTCTGCACTCTGATCTTGAGGCAAGTTTTATTTGTTAAAATATAAACAAAATATCACTATAAGAGGCTAGCCAGCACCATATGGAATTCTGTCCAAAAAAGGGAGGGGCAGGGGCAGGGTCAGCTCCTACTATGCACAAGTTGGTACCTCTGGATTCTTCCATTCTATAGAGACAACCTCAAAGAGAATGGTTGTCTCTCTCGCTAGGTGTCCTCGTTAGAGTGACATCGTCTTTAAACCCTACGTGGCAATCCCTGACGCACCACCGTGATGCCCAGGGAAGACAGGGCGACCTGGAAGTCCAACTACTTCCTTAAGATCATCCAGCTTTTGGATGATTATCCCAAACGCTTCACTGTGGGAGTAGACAATGTGGGCTCCAAGCAGATGCAGCAGACCCGCATGTCCCTGCGAGGGAAGGCGGTAATGCTGATGGGCAAAGGACACCACGATGCGGAAGGCCATCGGGGGCACCTGGAGAACCACCCAGCTCTGGAGAGACTCTGCACTCTCGCTTCCTAGAGGGTGTACAGAATGTTGCCGCTGTTCATCTGCAGACTGGCTATCCGGCTGTTGCTCCAGTGTCACACTCTGGCACCCATGGGTATGAGCAGGTTCTGGCTCTGTCTGTGGAGACCGAGTACACCTTCCCACTTGCTGAAAACGTCAAGGCCTTCTTGGCTGATCCATCTGCATTTGTGGCTGCTGCCCCTGTGGCTGCAGCCACCACTGCTGCTCCTGCTGCTGCTGCAGCAGCCCCAGTAAAGGCTGAAGCCAAGGAAGAGTCAGAGGAGTCAGATGAGGATATGGGATTTGGTCTCTTTGACTAATCCTCTCAAAGCAACCAACTCAGACAACTTAATCCAAGAAACATGGAAATAAAAGCTTACTTCTGTTAAAAAGTTGATTGGAAAAGTCCTTTTTGTTTGTTTGTTTTGACTTTGGTTTTTGGTTTCAGGACAGGATTTCTGTTTCTGGCTGTCCTGGAACTTGCTTGCTTTGTATACCATGATGGCATCAAGATCCACCTGTCTCTGCCTCCTAAGTGCTGGAATTAAAGGTGTGCGCCACCACCGCCCTGCTGCCTAAGTCTTTCTTAACACATTCCACATTCCAAACCTTTCCCTTGGGCCTGAAGCTCTCTGACTATAGTAGACACATAGGTATGGGCCCCGGAATCTCATCCTCCATCCCAGGAATCTGAGGGATGGCGACGTCCGAACTGCCTCTAAGTCTGTCTGCAGGCGAAGCCCACAGAGAGCGGACAGCCTCTGTAGTTCATACAGGAGCTGGGATTTATTTTTATTTTATGTGTGTGGATGTATTGCCTGCATGTGTGTCTGTGTGCCATGTGTGCAGCACCTGAGGAAGTTGGAAGAGGGTGTCATGTTCCTTGGAACTAGAGTTACAGACATTGGGAGCCTCCACAGTGTTTGAAAAGCTCCATAGTACAGTTAGAGGTCACAAGCATTTATTAGTGATAAACAGGACCACAGCAAAAATATTTTTTGAGCCAGGCAGTTGTTGAGGTCTGGTGCCATCCTGGACCATAAATTATTTCTCTGGACCTGAGGGGACGCGTGGGAATAAATATACAACTCACACGGCTTTGTCAGGAAGAGTTCTCAGAGATCCCTCATGAAATCTGAGTTCACATCCTGAAAATCACCTGTGTTTATTCTCCAAACAGCTTTTATACCAAAATGCAAACTGAGGGGGAAATTCACCAGCATTCTGTTTCCTAGGTAACCGGGAGAATGGTTGTGGTCATGTCTACACCTTTGACCACACCTTTCTATGCCCATTTTGTCTTTCTGTCTTCCTGCTCTGTATGCCAGCTCTGTCATGTAGGCCAGATTAGCATCTCCCTCTCAGGCGTCCTTCAAATTACAAAGAAGGAGCAGAACAACATTAGCAGATCCTGACCCTTTGTCTGTAAAGACTAGGTGACCTCCTTCTGTAAGGCCAGGTGCAAACAATGAACTGGAAGTCTGGCCTCCATCCACTGTAGGGATATGGGCCTGTATGGTCTACAAGCCTACAATCTGCTCTCGGTATTTAATTTTAATAAAGCCTGTGCTTCTACAACAGGACAGGTGATCACATCTGCCTTGGGCAAAGACTTTTCCCTTTCCCCAAATTTATCCGTTGTTTGAATTCCCCAAATTAGGAATATTTTATGTAAGCTCTTGTCTTGGGTTTTGGGGAGGAGAAGCTTTAAACCTGTCATTGCTGACCTCTGTAGAAAAGAGCTTAGGGGAGGAGACCTTTGGGCTCTGCCTCTTGAAGCCATATTTTTTGTAGGACAAATTATGATGCTTTATGCATAATCATGTCCTTAAAGGCCACAGTCTCCTGTTTAAAAGAGAAGAGAACCACCTGAGTTCAAAATGTCTTTTAGCTAGTTTAGAGCACCTCTTTAACTTTTTTACATTGTATCGAAATCTAATTTTTTTTTTTTTTTTTTTTTTTTTTTTGGTTTTTCGAGACAGGGTTTCACTGTGGCTTTGGAGCCTGTCCTGGAACTAGCTCTTGTAGACCAGGCTGCTCTCGAACTCACAGAGATCCGCCAGCCTCTGCCTCCTGAGTGCTGGGATTAAAGGTGTGTGCCACCATCGCTCGGCAAAATCTAAAATTTTTTAACATATGCATTAAATCTAAACATTTACAGAGTATGTCAAACCATTCTCAACATCTTACAAGCAGTTACAAACATCATCAGGTCAATACCATAATTTTAGAGTGGGAATTAACAATGAATCCACAATTAAACATATCACAGTTTTTTTTTTTTTTTTGAATCCACATTCATCAAAAGACAAGAAAAGCTTTCCTGAGGGGTAAGAATCCAGTGACATTGCTGTTATCAAATACCAGTTCCAGTCTCTGCGCAGTTAAACCCTTAGGCTGCCCCCCTCTTAAGTGAAGAAAGGTTTTAGTCATTTTTTATTTTGAGTCTTTTTTTCCTAAGAGGAAAGCTGTCTTAGTTCTCAGGTCCAATATTTTAATCAAAATGAGTTCTGTGTCCCAAAGATTAAAACAGCCAGACGTTTAGTCTGCATTTCTCATTCAGCTCCAAAGCAAACAGGATTCAGACTGCAGAAAACTGCAGTCATCGTGGTCAGGTCTTCTCAGTAGGGCTATGTGTGTCCCGAGTGTCTGGAAGCGCTCAGCATCCGTCCCTCAGTGCAGCAGAGCATCAGCTGGTCCCACAGACCAGGCACTCCCCTCTGTGGGGGCTGGGAAGACTGGACCAAGGTCTCCTCTCCAACTCCTTTCTCCCACTCCTCTATGGGGCGTCTGCAGCTATGATGTCATCAGGTCTGCTGCTCCTTCACTGTATACGCAGTCATCTCACCCAGCCTCGTGTTCTTCCTCTGAAAAAGGAACATAAACACATCCCTGACCCCAAATTAATATAATTTAACTTTATTTTATGTGCATTGGTGTGAAGGTGTCAGATCTCATGGAACTGCATTTTCAGACAGTTGTGAGCTGCCATGTGGGTGCTGGGAATTGAACCCGGGTCCTCTGGAAGAGCAGTCAGTGCTCTTAACGGCTGAGCCATCTTCCAGCCCCCTTTTAAGTTGTTTTTAATGGGCCATGTCACGCTTCATAATTCCTTTTCATTATTAATCATATAAGCAGTTTTTCCATTGGAAGAATCATGTACAAAATTTTAGCATAGCATCCTTTAAGGGATCTTTAGCTATAACGTTAGCAAAATATAGTTGTGCGAATCGCAACAACGATCACCTGGGAAAGATTATTACTCTGGCCTTTAAATTGAGCAAAGACAATTGTCCAAGCATCACTATTTTAAAATTATCAGTTAATATATTGCTTAGTATAAGAAACACTGATCACAGTCAGCTCTCTGCTAACGTACCTCCTGGAGTCCGTCCTGCTCTTCTGTGTCACACAGGCTACTGCTTTAAATTACGAGTTTAACATCTCAACTGGCAAAATGGGAAGGCGCAGTCATAAAAGGCATTTTGTTTTTCCATAAAACTTCTGTAGAATACGTTTTGTACTTAATATACACCCTTGCCATAGCTGAATCATAATTAATATCCTGTCCTTGCTGGTTATTGTATACTCTACCTGCTTGAGTACCTGTTTGGCAGCTTCTATAAGCGCCCTACTGGTAATTGGCTCATTGCTTCCTTTAAGAATTTTACTTAGTGGCTCAAGGTCTCCTATAAGAATATTATAACTAAGGCTTTAACCATTGTATATCTAATTAAAAGTTTGCAAACTCTCCCCCTTTTAAGGGGCAAGTCTGCTTAGCTGATAGGAAAATGGAAGAAGAAAGCACATTCTACTACGGATGCTGGCATAACTGGACAATCAACACATGGAGGAATGAAAACAGATCCATATTCATCTCTATGCACGAAACTCAAGTTTAAATGAATCAAAGACCTCAACATAAACCTGACAATACCGAACCCCATAGAGGAAAAGTTAGAAGTACACTGGAATGCATCGGTGCGTCTCAAACACATCCTCAGTGGCACAGACACTGACAGAAATGATTACAAATGAGATCTCCTGAAACTGAGAAGCTTCTGTCCAACAAAAATATATGGTACAGACCTAAACCAAAAACTCTCAACAGATGACTGTAAGACACTTAAAAATGCTCAACAGCCTTAGCCATCAGAAAAATGCAGATCAAAACTGAGATTTCACTTTATCCCTGTAAGAACGACCAAGATTAAAAATACTGCTGACAACTTATGCTGAAGAGAATATGGGGTAAAAAAAAAATTCCTCCACTATTGGTGGAAGTGAAAACTGGCACAGCCGCTTTGAACGCTAGTATGGCGATTTCTCAGAAAACTGGGAGACAATCTACCGTAAAACTCAGCAATACCACTTTTGGCCTATACACAAGAGATGCTCAACCATAAGGACATGGGCTCAACTATGTTTATAGCAGAATAATTTTGTCATAGCCAGGACAGTGTTTGGAAAGCTCCATAGCACAGTTAGAGGTCATGAGCATTATTAGTGATGAGCAGGACCGCAATAGCTTCCCGCACGCCTGGCCCTCTGTTGGCTACAGCCTCGCCTCCTACTTCAGACTCAGACAGGCCATGGAGGCTGCTGTGTCATGTAATCTTTTTTGATATGCGTGTGGAGAGGCCTCCAACACTAATGTAGCTCCAACACAACAAGCAGAAAGGTGTATCTCCACGAAACTTAGAATCTTGCAGATATACAAGTATAAACTCTGTCTCAAAAAACCAAAAACCACCAGGCAATGGTGGTGCACGCCTTTAATCCCAGCACTCCTGGAGGCAGAGGCAGGCAGATCTCTGTGAGTTCGAGACCAGCCTGGTCTACAGAGCTAGTTCCAGGACAGGCTCCAAAGCCTTGTCTCGAAAAACCATATATATTTGAAACAGAGTTTCATGTAGCTCAAGCTGATTGCAAACTCAAAATACAGACCATACTGACTTTGAATTTGTGATTCTCCTGCCTAAGCCTCCTGAGTGCTGGAATTACAGACATGAGCTATGATCAACCAAATAAGTTTTTAAAAATCCATTAATTATATAAAAATCTATTAAATATTGCCACCTCCCACCATGCATGTGTGTGTACGTGTGCATGTGTGTATGTGTGTGTGTGTGTGTGTGCGCGCGTGTAAGTGTGTGTGCATGTGTGTGTGTGTGTCTCCTAGGAGTCAAACCAAAGGATAATAGTATGAGTCAAACGCTCTGCCATTAAGTTACATCCCCAGCTGTATTTGTTTTTGTTGTTTTTGCTCTTCTTGTTGTTGTTGTTGTTGTTTGTGTGGTTGGTTTTGTTGTTGTGGTGGTTGTTTGTTTTCAACTTGACACAAGCCAGGGTCATCTGGGAAGAGGGAACCTCAGCTGAGAAAATGCCTCCCTCAGACTGACCTGTGGGCAAGTCTATAGCGCATGTTCTTGCTTAGTGACAGATATGGGCAGGTCCATCTCACTGTGGGCAGTGCCTGCTGTGGGCAGGTGGTCCTGGGCTGTGTCCGGTCATAGCTGTCCTGGAACTCTCTAAGTAGGACAGAGTTCTGCCTGCCTCTGCCTTCTGAGTGCTGGGATTAAAGGCGTGCGCCACCACTCCCAGTAATCTCATTGTTTTTTTCTTTCTTTCTTATAAGGGGAGACTGCTCTTTCATTCCCAGAGACCCAGATCTGAATAATCATACAGAATCTTTATTAATTACAACCCTGCTTGGCTTATTAGTTCAGGCTTCTTATTAACTCTTACATCTTAAATTAACCCATTTCTATTATTTCGTAGATCACCATGAGGCTGTGGCCTACTGGTAAGGGTTCCGGTGTCTGTCTCCTTCAGCAGCTACATGGCGTCTCCTCAACTCTGCCTACTCTCTCTACATCTCTTCCAGCTTGGCTATATTCTGCCCTGCCATAGGCTGAAGCAGCTTCTTTATTAACCAATGGTAATAAAGCATATTCCTAGTATACAGAGGGGAATCCCACATCACTTTTTTTTAAGGCTTATATTTATTATGTGTACAGTGTTTTGCCTGCCTAATATGTCTGCAGGCCAGAAGAGAGCACCAGATCTCTTTACAGATGGCTGTGAGCCACCATGTGGCTGATGGAAATTGAACTCAGGACCTCTAGAAGAGCTGCCACTGCTCTTAACCCCGGAGCCATCTCTCCAGCCCCTTCTCTTTCTTCTTAAAAAGGTTTTGACCGTGTCAATATTGTATAGTGAGCCCATTGCTTCTCCCGTTCCTTATTTTCCACCATCCCTTTGGTCCCCTTTGTCCCAAGTTTTCTTTCTTTCATGGCCTATGCAGGACCCTCTCCACCCCCGCCACCCGCCTGCTACCTGTGAACCAGATACTACTGCTCCAACGCTTTGCCTGCCTGCTTCCCACCATGCCGATCTGCCGCTCTGCAACTGTAAGTAAGCTCTCAGTTAACTGCTTTCTTTCCTACGGTTACCTGTGTCTCTTCACAGTGTAGAACATCACAGTGTACGTCAGTGACTGGGACAGTAACTTGATATGACTGCCCTCCCATTGGACCAGCTTTCTTGAAAATGAAAAAATTAAAAATAAAATAAAAATCCATGTGGGGGCCGGATGGTGGTGGTGGTGCACGCCTTTAATCCCAGCACTCAAGAGGCAGAGGCAGGCGGATCTCTGTGAGTTCGAGGCCAACTTGGTCTACAGAGTGAGTTCCAGGACAGGCTCTAAAGATAATGGAGAAACCCTGTCTCAAAAAATAACAACAACAACAACAAAAACAAAACAAAACAAAAAAAATAAATAAATAAAATCTAAAATCCATGTGGGGGTTGGGAAATGGCTCAGTTGGAAGACACACACACACACACACACACACACACACACACACACACACACACCGTGCTTTGTGCCTGTAATCTAATCTTTAGAGAGGCAAAGATAGGAGACAGGGGGTGGGGATCACTAGAGCTCCATTTGCAGCCTGAATGAATCAGTGAGAGACCCTGCCTCAAAAAGCTAAGTGAGAGTGTTTTCAGAAGAAGCTGAGTCTGCCTCTGGCCTCTGTGTGCTTGAGCACACGTGTGCCCTCACACGCACACACCATATTTCCTCTGTGTGCTTGAGCACACGTGTACCCTCACACGCACACACCATATTTCCTCTGTTGTTGGACATCTAGGTTGCTCCCATTCCTTGACTGTTGTGGATAGCGCAGGAATAAGCACGGATGGGTGAGTGTCTCTGACATGTGTAAACACCCGTGAGTGTAAGGGCTGCTGTTAGTGTCCGGGTATCTGCACTGGCCAGACCTTGGGGTGCTGGCCTGACCTTGGGGTGCACGTCCTCAGCTGCAGCCACTGAGAGCACTTGTGTACATTCACTAGGTTCCATTTTCCAAGGGCCCTGCCCTTGGCTGGGCAGTGGTGGCATTTGCTGTTAATTCCAGTGCTCAGGAGGCAGAGGCAGGCGGATCTCTGTGAGTCTGAGGTCAGTGAGGTCTACAGATCAAGTTCCAGGACAAGTTACAAAGTTACACAGAGAAACCCTGTCTCGAAAAGCCAAAAAAAAAAAAAAAAAAAGTTCCTGCTCACCTCCCATTTCTGTTTCTGTCTCTGTCTATCTGTCTGTCTGTCTCTTCTCTCTTCTTTTCTGTCACTCCTGTCCCCGGAGGCCCGGTCTCCCCTCGCCCTTCCTTCCTTTAACGTTCCCTTTCCCTTACTACAAACCCCTCCATATGGACTCTGTCTCACGGCGTCTTTGTCTCACAAGCTACTTTTTCTGAATCACAACATTGGTCTCCTGAGCGGAAAAGGCTTTTCGGCAGGCAGTTTAATCCTGGAACCTGCTTCTCCAGATTGCTGGGTCCCTCCATCCCAAACCTTTCTTCCACCTCTGCCTGTTTCCCCAGGGAGGGCTCATCTTGTCTCTTGAGCATGGTTTCTCACCTTTTGGCCTCATTAAGCCCTGGTACCAGGCAACCACGGCCTGGGCTCAGAACCCTTGCCCCACTCTTTGTGTGACGACCTACCTACTGGGCAGCCTGTTCCAGTCTCATTTCCCGGGACTCTCGGGTTCTTTGCCCCTTGATTGACCGGATCACCACCAGGCAGCTTATGCCTTTCTTATGATCCTTGCTTGATAAAAGCTACCGGTTCTCGTTCTGCCTCACTCACGGGAATAAACCTAAAATCTGCTTCCTGGCACTCTATGTCCTGATGTTTTCCGGGCCGTTTGCAACACTCTGTCAGCGCCCCCGATCTTGTTGCACATGGCAGAGCCCACCGAAAGGCCATCACTTCACACTGGGACCCTACCCACCTGCTGCACCCTCAACAGAGCTGCTCTTTTTCACCTGCAACAAATCTGCCTTCTTGTTCTCTGGCGGCCTCGCCTTCCATTCAATATTGTTAATTGGGTCTGACCATCCCAGGGAGGTGAGGCTTCCTGTCTCGAGCACAGTCCTCTCCTCGCCTTCTGACTTTTCTCGAAGTCCTAATACCAGGTGACTGTGCCTCTTTCGGGCTCAGAGCCCTTTGTCCCCGCCCTTTGCGTGATGGCCCATTGGACAGCCTGTGCCTGTCTCGAAATTGATCTTCTTTGAATTTCTGGGACGCTAGGAATTGCAGCCCCTTGGGTCTTCTCTGCCTCACTCATGGGAGCTGGTTGTCTATACCTCCTCGCTCCCACTGGGATGTTTTTGGAGACCCACCAACCTTACCAGCCGTTGGCCACAGAGCTGGAGGCACAAGAACCATCAAACACGTCCGGGTGATGCTGTGGTGATGGGAAAGGATCAGGTGCTGTAAGCCCTAGGGAGTCGACTTGGATCCACCCGGAACAGCATTTTGACAGTTCCTCAGAGCCTGGGCGGTGAAGTGAAACATTCAGCTACTCCAGAACGTGGCCAGCACCCCAGTTTTCCTAGGCCCCCCAAAGATGAATGCTGCCTCCCAGGTCAGCAGCAGGATGTAGTCTTGAGAACTCAGCATCCTGATCCCGCCTCACTTGCTCCCCTTTCTAACTCCCCGCCCTTTTTGTTTTGTTTTTGTTTTTCATCACAGCGTGTCTCTGTAACTTTGGCTGGCCTTGAACTCACAGAAATCCCCTGTCTCTGCAGCTGTTTGTCTGTCTCTCTCTTTTGCTCTTCTCTCTTCTTTTCTCCCACTCGGGTCCCCAGAGGTCAGTCTCTCCTCTTCCCTCCCCCCATTTCCCTATTCCCTTTCCCTCGATAAAATTCTCTCCACCTGAGCTATTTCGCATGGCATCTTTCTCTCTTGTGCCGTCTTTCTAAATCACAGCGTCTGTGTCATAGGAAGACCTCTTTCCGTTTCCTGGGAAACCTCTGTCCTGATGACCTAGTGATTGGACTCATTTTTTAGCTCCGCCAGCAGCATGTAAGGCTCCTCTCTGTCCACATCCTGGCCAACACTGTGATGTTTTCTTAGTGACTACCATTCTGACTAGGGTGAGATGGAATCCCGGTGTGGCTGCTTGTGTTTCTCTGATGACCAGAGAGATAAAGCATTTCCCATGTTCTTGGGCCTTTGTGTTCCACCTTTTGAGAATGGTCTGTTCATGTCATGAGCCCATTCCCGAGTGGGTGGGTTGCTTGTTTAGTTACTTGAGTTCTTTGTTTGTGTATTCTAGATATTAATCCACACCAGATGTATAACTATCAAAGACTCTTCCATACCTGTAGGCGCTCGCTCTCTCTCTCTCTCTCTCTCTCTCTCTCTCTCTCTCTCTCTCTCTCT